TTGACGTTGAGGATTTTTACGTGAGACCGTTGACGCAGTTTTGCCGAATATCGGATTATTTATTTTATGTAATAAATCAACATTCTTTCAGATGTTTTCTTTAATAAATGGTTGAATTTTTTCGTAGTCGTTGAATATGTATGGTTATATAATTTTATATTGTTATTTGACAGATATTCATAAGGCCGTGATTAAATAAAATAAGATGTTTACTAACTTATAGCACTTCAAGTTAAAAACGGAGTGTTGAAATTCAGTTCGTGGTAGACCAAAGTTTTAAACACGTAGGATAATTCGGATATTTTACCATTGTTTGAATAATTTCATTAAACACATTGAACCTTTTTTTATTTATAACAGTTATACGACGTGAAAGGAAGTAGTTACAAACATGAAACGGGATAATCTTAGAAGTTCCTTTTACTTGGCTAAGGAGCTCATCCACGCTTCTCGCTTTCGTTTTCACCTCCAGAATGCCCGCCTGTTCTTCCCTAGCCGAAGGCAGGTGCGACCCAGTCCTCCATTTTCTTCCGATCGGGATAAAAACCCGAACGAAAAGTGTTCCTCTTGAGCACGTAAAGAGATCTTTAAATGGTGGCGATAGATTTCGCGCACGTGGACGCTGGGGCTCTTCACGTACGCGACCGGAATGCTTCGTGAGGATCGCTTTCACCCCTGCGGGACGGTTGGGATGCTAAGCATGGAGGTGCCTTTGGCCGTGCGCCAGCCCCGTCATAAAGGTCTTCAAATCTTTTCAACTCTTCCACTTTCTTGTAGAAGAACATGGATGGATTTAAAGGAGAAAGCAGGATGTCGTACGAGCGCATACTGACTTTTGTGCTCAAAGGCTTTAAGGTTAAATGCTTACTATGATGGTTAGTTGTACTTGAAGTTTTTTTCATTCTGAACATACAGTATTTATAAAAAGTGAGTTCCACGAGTGTTATGATTAATTATTTGATAAATTAAATTAATCGAAATTCGAGATATTATGTAATTAAAGTTGGTTGGGGATTGCTTTCATGGAGGTACGAAATATAAATGATATTTTTTTTTCTATCGACGTTTCGGAATTATCCGATATCCTTTAAATGAGCAGCACTGATGAAGGCCTGAAATTAAGGCCAAAACGTCGGCACAAAGAAAATAAACATGATCTATTTTTTTGTACATCGATGACTGCAATCTCCAAATCTTATATTATTTAAAGCAGTGGTCTCCAAATTTGTTGGCCAGCGGGCCACATTGCGACCTCTATCAAAGTCCCGCGGGCCATGGATTGTGATGAAAAAATTAAGTTTGTTCTATAAATGACACTTCAGTTTTCTTTTTTTTTTCAAAGACTTTTCCACTTATGTGGTTATACTTTAAGATATTGTTCCACCCTTCTCTATCTAAGACTTGTTCTCTGATGCCATGCCCCTTCAGGCTTTCTTCCACCGCGTCTTTTCATTTTACTTTTGATCTTCCTTTTTTCCTTCTCCCTGCTACTTTCAGTACCATACAAATCTTCCGGAATCTTTCAGGCGTCATTGTTTTCACATGCCCAAACCAGCATAACCTTTTCTTTTCAATATTTGTATCCATCATTTTCAAAATTATTTCATTATTTATTTTTTCACTTCTGGGAAAAGAACAGCCTTGCATTGATGACCCACGTCTCCGAGGCATATGTCGTTATTGGCTTTTGTATTAGCCTCTTTGTACTGGGCTATATATTCGAGCTCCAACAAAGGATACTGTTGAGTATTCCTGTGATATTTCTTCCTTCACCAATTCTTCAGTCTATATCCATGATGGATGTGCATGTGGATGGATTTAAGAGAAACAATTCATGCTTGAATGGATAACTTTCATATTTTTTTTAATTTCGCCATGTAATCAAAGAAACCTCCACGGTTCGGATCGGAAATGCTTGCGGACTATAGTTTGGAGACCCCTGATTTAAAGGATTATTTTTATCAAAAGTTGTTTTATCTTTAATAAAAGTAAAAGTTAAAGCATTACTTCCTACAATTTTATGTTTGACAAGAAAAAATATATAATCAGCCTAAATTTACTTGAGAAATGACATTCTGTTTATTATTCATTTTCTAGATTATTATTGCTTTATCTCTAATATTTTATTTTTTGGCTTTCATTTCTGTAAAAATATATCCGTCTATTATAAATCTAGCGTTTGCATTGTTATCTACACTTGTCAGATCCTGGTTCTGATAGTATTTAAACTGATCTAATCTCATTTGATGAATTATTATTAAATTTCAAACACAAGAAATGCATTTAGTAGATCAAGGCACAACTGATAAACGAAGATACGTGTTAGTTTGCTCTTGAGATTAATGCACTTCGGGTGAGGCGTCAACCTTGCCCTAATTTTATGTGGTTATTGGGTCTCAAAATTATCACATTTTATTGCTCATATTAAATATCCTTCATGGTAACGGAATTTGTTAGGTAATTAATATCATTATAATTCGGATAAATTATCATTACTTGCTAAAAGGTTCAATATTTTTTTTAATAGGATATATAACTATATGGAAATAATGAATCGTAGTGTAAGCTATTTCATAGTTACATGCTACAACTTTTTCTTATTTTTTTATCCTCATTTTAACGTGACAGAATAATAACCGATATATAGAAAAAAAATCCAGACTCAGCCACTGTTCAAAACTATTGTTTTTTTGTCAGTGTATATCCCAAAGATAATTTGACGATCTTCTTGCTATTTAAATATTGTATTTTCTACATTAGAATATATATCTTATACTTCTAGCCCAACATATTGTCTTTATAAATGTACCGTAAGTTACCAAATTTGAATATACATAGTTACAAGTTTTAAAACTCAAAATATGCAATTCAAAATCAAATAAATATATTTATATGTTTCTATATACCACCTTAAGTGTTTTCTTTTGATATGTTTCAAGTAGATTTATTGAGATTTTAGTTGAAAATAAAACTAAGATTTTATGGATATATTATAAGATTATAGAGTTCACTCATAATTAAAGCTCTTATTGGGTTATGTTATTTTGTGGGTTTTCTAAATATAAAACAAAATAAAAATACATTATTTACTTTTCCATCGTTATTTAAATATATAGGGTGTTTAAGGGTTAAGTGGCCAAACTGCAAAAATGAACTGAATATCTCCTAAACAAAGCGTTTGCGGACATATTGCGGTCCTTAATTCATTTTTGCAGTTTGGCCGCTTAACCCTGAAACACTCTGTATGTTTAGTATTATCTATATTATTTTAGGATAAATATTATGAAATAGCTTAAGTACGCCGAACGCGGACTCATGTGAAAACCCTGAAAAAAAAAAGATTAAATATCTAAATAATAAATAATAAATGGATAAGTTCACAGAAACTGCGAATTAAGAAGAAAAACGATGCTCAATTTAAACGTAAGGCTGAAAATCCTTCTCTAGAATAAAGGATCACAAATATCGAATGACTATTAAGAACTGATGCTGACAATTAAAACCGAAATTAGAATGAAAACGACCAACTGGTCAACGCCATTGTCTAACGAGTCTGAGACACGCAGTCAGCAAGAAGCATAACCAGTTGCCATTAATGGGAATTGCAGATGGTTGCAAGTTTTATAATTTTATCATCCTTATAAATAACAACACATGTTTTAATCTATAGAAACATATTTCGGAAAAATCAGTTATGAAATCATCTTACTCTTTATCGAACCTGATTTAGCAAGTTGTTTTAATTAACGTTTCACTAATTTTAACATGAGACTTAAGGTAGTTTAAATCAATTGATAAGATTGATTGAAACGATTTGAACTTAATACAGTTAAACAAAAATATTACAAAAAATAAGTAGTTGACCAGAAAATCCCTCATGTTTTAAAATAAACTGAAAATATGTATAGACGTAATATAAAACTAAATATGAAAAAAAAATATATATTCAATATGTGTTTCTATATTAGGTTTTTGTTTTTTTTTACGTATGTGTTCTGGGTATATTTAAAAATATTTTAACGAAGCCATTTAATATTTCACTTATTTTTATTTGTATTTAAACGTTTGAGGCAGTTAGATGAACAATATATTCTTCCTTAAATGGTAGGGTGGACATGAACTAATCATAAGATGCTAGGATATGTTGATTCATATAATTATATTTGAATATAAACTAAAATTTCGATAATTTTGACATTTATTTATTTGGTAGTTCATACATACATGGTTAATACATTTTTCAAAATAACAAAACAATTTGTTATTTCCAATTCAATTCAATTTGGTGCTGCCTTCACCATCGTAACGTTTTATCTTGGATATTGGAATCCAAGAATCATATAAATAAAAAAAAAAGAAAACATACTAACATTAAGTTATAATATACTGGGCATTGCATTTACATACAAAAAGCAGCTGAGTCGATAAAAGTATGAAAGAAAAATATACATACATTCATATGCATACATATAATACACACTATATATAAAGTCATTTAAAAAAACTACGGAGGTATCAATCCCTCCACAACATAAGTCATAAGAAATTAAAACTATTATACATAAGTAAATAAAAAATAAATAAAATATAAAATAAATAAAAAATAAATAAATAAAAATGAAATAAATAAATAGATAAATAAAAATAAATAAAACAAAACAAAAGAAAAAACGTAAATTATGGCATCGATATAATATCGAGTATCATGCTATAAACAAGGAAGCAGCCTGGAAACATAAAGCATGTTAAAATACTTGCGTACTTGGTTCTAGCCCTAAGCTTAGTCATCTAATCAACTTTCCCTATTTTTTTTTTTAATTTTAGTTTTCAAATTGTATTCATTCCTGTAGATTGATTGTAATTAATTTTGATTTTGTTTATGTTCTTTGAACTATTGGGAGAGGAGGGGAAGAGGGCGATTGCTCCTCTCGTCCCTCTTAAGTCTGCGCCAATGAATGATTGAGCAATATTAATAATTATTTTTAAATCAGAGACAGACATTACAGAAGCACGGTTGGGTTCAATGGCTGTGAGAAAAAGCTGCCAATTTGTGTAGGGAAAGTTCCACCCAACAGCAACCTCACCGAAACAAAACCTTGTTTCGACGATTCACAAGAAACAAGCGGCCGACTATGAATATGAATATAACAACATGGTCTAAGGGAGAAGCCCTGCAGTACATCTTGGAGTCGAGGACACCTCGGCAGGTTGAGAGCTTGCAGCGGTAGGTTGCCTGGGCCTGTCCAGTCTTCCAGATCATGACCACATTTCCTCTTCCTCGGCAGAGATGTTAGATACCACTTACGGCCATCCTGTCTGTCACGTGTGCTCCTACCTTCTCTATCTGTTCCATTCAAAGGAGTCATACGATAAGCCAATGCTGTATGAATCAGACATCGAATCCTCTCAACAAGTAATGCATATGCTCTGCGATTCTGTTTTTTGCTTCGAGGCATTGTAACACATTGGAACAAAAACCTAACCGCATTTCTCTATTCCAAAACGAAACACATTGAGGTTTACATACAATACTCGGCGAGGTCATTACGAAACTGTATTGTGAAATCAGAGCGAGAACTATTTTTTCTAGAAAATTCTTTCAACTCATTAATTTAATTTAAAAAATAAATAAATTACAAAAATTGAAAATGGGATTGCCTGTATAGGAAATCTACGCCTTATTTTTTTAAATGTATAATAATTTTAAAAAATCAAATCTTAAGGTACTCTTGTTATTTTCAAATAATTTTCTTCGGAACATTAACCCATTCACTACTTGACATTGAAATTTCATTGAAAACGTTGCAAAAATTGTGAAGAAACAAGAGTGCTTTCAGAATATACGTAACAATCGAAAATGGCGCCCAGGTCACGCATCAAAATTGCGCACCATCGAAAATTATCATAATATAAAAAATAGATACACTAAATAAAAAAGTCATAAATCTTACAAAATATATTTATTCTATAATATATAACGGACTTGTCAATTTAATATTCTGATTTTAACCGGTTTTACTGTTGCTATCGAAGTTCTTTTATAGTTTTTAGTTATGATAAATAATATATTAACTGCCGTAAAATAATATGATAAAGTTGTTTCATAAGATATCACGAGGATATGATCATTTTAGAACGATTAATATTAGCTGAGAGATGAAAGATAATTAGCTGACACATGTTTAATCTCATGCGGCCTATTTTAGCATCAATAGCATGAATAACAGATCCACGAGGGTGAGTCATATCCCATTCCTATACGGCCAACAGTTATCTAAGGCTTCTAGCGTCATTATTAAGAGTTTAGATCATTGGGAAATGATTTAATGAAGCTTGACACATAATCAATTAGAGCGCCTATGGGTATTTTTGTGGGGGCTGCTGGTATGCGATGTATCTTGTTTTAACTCCTCTTCGAAACGTTTTGCAGGTCTCTCACGGATTCGAAGCCTCGTTTTGCGTATATTAAATTAAAATCTCGTAAATTGAATGGAAATACTTAAATAGTTTTTTCTCATTGAAAATCAACGGAATAGGGTGATTACTCAAGCAATGAATGCAACCAAATAAAAAAAATGCTGAGGATATTAAACTAAAGAGGATAAAAAAATGAGCTAGTGATACGCGAACGTGCTCAGAAAAGCTGTTAAAAAATGTTTTATCTTTTTACTTAATACCTGTTCATTTCTTTGTTTTTGTGGTGTGCGAATCCTCCTGCATATTATTGCTCAACTGTAATTTGATGTTACTATTTTGTTTTTCGAAATTACTCTCTGAACTGTAAGTGAAGAAGAAAAAAAGTTCTCCTAAGTTTGCAATTACTGGAATGCAAGCTTGTTTTTGCAGATTTCTGTTTAATGATCTTTGGAGATTATATGCTCGATTCAGTCCTGAACTTACTACTAATAAAAAAAAAAAAAAAAATGATAATAAAGTAAAATTATATGCACTCTTAAGAGGATATCAGTTTCAAAAGCGTTTTTTTGCTGAATTTAAGTTTTTTTTGTTGGGAGTGTCCAACTATTGGTAGTGATTGATTGAATCTCGCTTGATCTGGAGAAGTAATGAGAAAAAAACATGTCATCTCTATTTTTTTTATTATTAATTTTTTTTTTAATTTGATACATTGGTATAAATGGATTCAGAATCGCATTCTTTCTAAGAGTTGAATTTCAAAATAAAAAATCAGTAAACAATATAAAATGTTTATTTTCGTATTCCGGCTCTTTAAAAAAATTCTATTTTTATTCTGAATCAATTTGTACTAATAATTCGGTTTAAAACATAAAAAGTTACTCATGTTTTCCCCCTCTGCCCTCAATGTATTTTCAAAAGCGTGAAACATTATAACTTTTTTGTCGTGAATTATATTTATAATTTTCTAAATTCTCAACCTGGTTCATTTATGATACATATATATAAAGAATTTCTCTTTCTAGAGGAATTATTACGAACGAGCATAGGTTTAATCTATTGTTAGGGTTAATCTATTATGTTTATGTATATTATTATTTTTTTATTTAATGTTATAAATTGAATGCATTTTTCCACATCACTTTGACTGTGATTGCTTGGGATATGAGGACTTACCGATGAAATTAAAATATTTTTTTCATTGTTTTTATATATTTCATCTTAGGGGTTCCTAAACTCACCCACATCTTTGCCTAATAAAACCTAGCGGCTTTGTTTTTTTTTCCGACCGCAATACTTTCATGATTCTTACCTATTCCAATCCTTCATAAACGTAAAGATGTTATCTTTATTTATTTTAAAAATAAATATGTGTATTTGTATAATATAATATAATATTATGTACATATTATATATCTATAATATTATAATATGCATATAATATCAGTTTATGTAACTTGTTTATAAAATCTTGTATATTTAACTTTTTCGTAACCTTACCTATTTTTATTTTTAAATGTATTGTAATTTTAACTGTAAATAACAGTGATTAAGTTTTAGTTTAAATTTTTTTGCTTCTAATTTTAAATTTTTTATATGTTTATTCTTTATAATAGCTTGTGATCAATTGTAAGATCATATCTGTCACTGTAGTTTAGTTGACTCTAAATTGTTTTGCATTTTTACTACGTATTGTTGTTGAATTAATAACTGTAATTTAGGGCGAAAATGGCCCTGGTGGTTAAAAAGCCCATTAATTTTATATAAATAAATTCTAAATAATGAAGTAATTTAGGTACAGACAGTTAATTTAATTATCGTTGTGTCGAAATTGAGTTTTCTCCTGAAGACTTAAATGTAAAATTGAGTAGCCGTTGAAATGTAGAATTTAGTCCAATAAGGTCTTGGAAAACCGGGACAAGTTTGGGAGGTCCTTCGTATGGTACTTAACGGATTCGGTAGGCTTTCTCCTTTAAATAGGACTGCCAAGAAATTTACTTCAACTAGCAAAACCGAAAAAAAAAATGAAGACAGGAGACGCGCGTGTGCTTTGGAAGCTGATTGAAATTGGCATCAGCTGAGCAGTAAAGAGTTGATTCAATTGCATACAGATAGCGTCGCAATTCTTGCACAATCCTCAACGCAATAGCGGGCCTGAGGAATGGGTTTGCTTCTGCGCCAATAATTAGACATTCCGTAATACTCACCCGTGGGATGGCTGCTCCTTCGTGTTCCTTATCATCTGGGTTACGGAACAACTAATCTGGAAATTCGTTACGGTTTGGAAAACGTCTCTTTTATGCACGTCAACTCCCCTGAAGAACGCTCTTTGATCTCTTAGTTTTGTACAAAATTAATCATGCTTCTAGATGAGGACAAATTGCATAAGGTTGGTATTGTTGGAACCTCAGAGAATAATCACAGAATAAACAAATAGACATGATCAAAATAAAATATAGGATTAGTTACTTCCTATTTTTAATCAAATAAGAAAAAAAAATGAAAGAATAGTGAAATATAAATAATTAAACCAACTAATAATTAATATACATATTTACAGCAACATTTATTTACAGTCTTATGAGAACTGAATAGATAGAAAGTGATTGAACAGGCGGAATTTAAAAGTGGGGAAGGGGTTATTGGAGCGAAGGATATAGGAAGGGATAGAATTCCATGAAGGGATGAGGAATGAATAATGAAAGATCTGGAATCTTGCATATAAATCTGAAGAACGGAATCGAGGAAAAAGCGGACCAATAGAGGAAAATGTTTTCATAAGAATATTTCACTTTTTATTTGTTCATATATAACTTAATTATTTTCTTCAACTAACATGTTTTGTTTATTTTCGTTTATGCTCATTAAATGAGTTCTTCTTATTATTATTATTATTTTCTAAACAGGTTCAAAATTGCTAAAAATATAGTCTGTTTATAGCAAAAACTTTAATGTGGTCGTTAAACAACATAATTTGTAGCCTGACTAGAATAATGAGCTAAGACAATAAAATATTTTCATTTGGCAGTCATTTACATTCCAAGCTTTTAATTGTATGTTTTTATATTTAGTATTGATAAAGAAAATTTAAAAAAAGAAGGATAAATCATTAACGAAGTCTGCTATACAGGAGAAACAGATGTGAGGAAAATCTATTTCATCTACTAATGTATCTGAAATAGAAACGCGTTACAAAGAATTACATATGTGTATTAGATTTCAGGATCTTTTATTTTTATAATTATTACATCTATTTAGAATTATTTATTTTTGATTTTTCCATCTTTTCCAAGATGGATTTAAAATTATTTTCTACTGGATAACTAGTCCAACTAATTTCGCTAAACTTCGACATCGCTTTAGAATCTTGTGAGGCAATATTGAATATTGTTTCCAGAATACTTGATTAAATATTTAAAAGAAAATACATATTTAAGATAAAATATATTGAAATACTTACTTAAAGCATCGGGCCATGTAGAATTTTCTAAAGAATTGTAATCTCGAATCTGAAATGATTTTGAACTTTGCTGAGGTAGTCTCAGGACAAAGCAGTGTCTTGTAGCATCAGTGTCTGCACAACATAGTTATTGAGTTATACTTCATGGTTGTTTACATTGTGAAATTGTTTGCCCTTTAAGAACATGGATTGATTGTGTGGCGTACGTCGCACAGTAAACATTCTTGAGAGGTGTCATATTTTTACTGAGCTATCAAGTTTTGAAGGGAACGATGTATATTTGTTGGGTTTGAATTGGAGAGATTTTAAACCCACCACCACCACGGGGGTAACAATGAAACTACCACAGCAAGTGTCATTGTATATGATCTACAATTTTTCCGAATTCTACTTTCGCTTGCACTGTTTTTAAGAAGAGAAGAGCAATGCAATTTCTTGATAGAGAAGAACATACTCCATCAACCTTGAGGAGGATGGTTATCCCTGTTCAAGAATAAATTTTAAATCCTTGTGAAGGAATTTGTTCCGCGAGACAGGGTCTCTTGGAGACGCGCGGCCCATTAACAGTAGGCTAAATTGCCTATATGGATAATCTGGCGCAAAGGATGTGCTATCTTTTTCGATGATGCTCAGACTACATTCATTCACTACTGTCAAGTTATTCGGTTAGTTAGTGGGCTGATTTTACGAGCGGATGCCAGTTGTAGACAGCTCCGAATGAATGAATCAGCCGCCCACTCGCCAATCAGTCGCGCGGCGGTTGTCTTTCGCCTCCAAACTTCTGCCATGTCTCCTCATCTTTCAGGTCAGTGAGCGATCGATATGTGTCATTTTGTTTTACATGATATTTGTGTACTTGTCATACGTATTTATTATTCTTGACTTATACATACGTCGACTTAACTCTTAACTTAAGACTTAACTCTTCGAATGCAGACGATATGGTTGCCAAAGAAGACGATATCGTTCCAATCTCTATTTTTTGCATATTGGGCTAGAGCAGGTGATATGGTATACAATATTTGATTGTTTTAGGAACAGAACAGAATCTTTGAGTTTGGTATATCGATTTCCTTATTTACTTTTATTTTTGAAAACTACTTTTAGATGGGGAAATTTGGAAGTTAAAGATTTTTTGATTTTTTGAGATAGGACAGGGATATATGGAATGGATTGGTATTGGCAAATCGTAGTGGGATACTGAGAGCAGTTTGTGGGAGACTGATGAAGATGGGGTTTGGATTGATTTTTGAGCAGGTTTTTTATAATGTGAACAGGAAAGTCGTTGGATTTCAGGATATTATATAGTTTGATTAGGTTATTGTCACGAACGAATGTATCAATTATTTGTTTGTCATATGCTGTAGTTTTTTAAAAATATGTTGACGATCTTTTATTAATCCTCAACCCTTCACCAGTTTCCCACAAACTGCTCTCAGTCTCCCACCATGATTCACCAATATCGATCCATCACATACATTCCCGTCCTATCTCAAAAAATCAAAAAAGCTTTAACTTCCAAATTTCCCTATCTAAAAATAGTTTTCAAAAATAACAGTAAATTAAGAAATCTATACACCAAACTCAAAGATCCTGTTCCGCTCCTACAACAATCAAATATTGTATACCATATCCCATGCCCTATGCCAAACTGCAGTTCTTCTTATATAGGAGAAACCCAAAACTATTTTAAAAAACTTATGTATTGCATAGTTCACACGCAGAATAAAATTATTTTATTTATTTTACTTTGAATCATTTTTAAATTGAAACCAAATTCAACATAAGTTTGTAAGATTTTCTTTATCTGGTCATACAACTTTATTGGAGAGAGTTTGAAGTTAGCTAAATTATAATTACATTGTCGCTTACTCCGGGTTGGCTTCGTATCATTTCATATTATTCTAAAGGATCGAACCGTTCAAGTCAAGGTTTAAGGATCTTTTGATATTAGTTTAGAGCCGTATAAATCACATACAAAAAAAAAATACATATATATTTCGGAGCGTAGCGTATGGACAGGGACTTAATACAACTGTAACCAATCTTCCAATGGCTTTTTTCTCTCCTCATAGCGATATTTTTTAATAATAATTTTTTAATCTGTAATGAAATAATTTAAAAATTTCGTTTCAATATTTTCCTGAACTACCAGCTGAAGTTTTTTTTAACATTTGAACTTGTTGACCCCCTTCGTATTTTTTTTGTATTTATTTTTTTTTATGCCAGAGTTAAAAAGACCCCCTCGGTACCGAGACTCGAACTCGTAGTTGATTATTTTAAACCAAATTGTTTCTTTTATCAGGTTAGCCCGCGCGGTCATCCCGCCCTAACCCCTATTCAATCTAAAGGTTTCTTACTCTACACTGCGCGAAAATGTCGAGATTTACTTTATGGATCCTCCAAGAAATCATAGTAATCATTCATGCCAGAATCGAAGGGGCGTCCACTTCTACGCTGAGATGGGCAAATGCTACTCTTAGTACCGAGTAACAAGCATTTTATTCAAATTGAACCACTATTGAGAATTCAATCACTGCTTCAGTTTGACATCGGTTGACATCAACTGAAGCAGTAATTAATTTATTTGCTACTCAAAAAAGTCCAGTGTTTGAGTAAAATACTTGGTACTAGGTCCTTGGAGGAGCATTTGCTGACACGATCGACCACCACAGCCTCAAAATTATCTATAATTTTTTTTTCCATATGAAAACCTAATATAAAGCATTATAAATCCTTTAAAGCATGCATCATTATCTGTGAAATTTAGTCAAATGTCGCTCCGGAACATGGAACTGAAGTCTTTGGATCGCTCCGTAGCTGAGTGAATTACTCGTGAAATTGGCTTATTTCTTTCTACCACCTTTCATAAGGCATTCTGAGTCCCCTTATGTAATACTTCCAGTCTTGTAATGGAACTATGGCTTCAAAGTAGATTACATGGTGTCTATTTAACTGGTCTATTTCGGATTTCTGTCCGTAATCGTCTAATCAATTGGTTTCTAAATGATTGACATTTTTAGTATCCGACTAATTTTTCGATTACTAAAGATTAAATATAATAATAAATGATTAATTATAATTAATTTCAAAGCATCATGAAGTAAGTAAACCAATCTTTGACAAACTTCTAATTAATTTCTAACAAAATGTTACATTTAACGTATTTTCTTTACAGAACAATAAATTGCAATTAAATCTAGTTTGATTTAACTATGACTAAAGTGTCACTATGATTTTAATTTTTTGTACAGTTTTAAGCAAGAAAAATAAAAAAATAATGGTTTAATGTATGTTTTAAAAATGATTTTATATTAATTGGAATTTATTTGATTGAATAGCTAACTAATTTTGGATATCTATCTATTCATATTTTTTTACCTTGAGTTTTAATAAAGACTAGTATATAGAATCCTTCAAAAAAATAATCTTTCCTTATTTAATGTTTATAGAAAGTTGACTAATATTTATTAAAAATATGTTCTCTTTTATAAGTAAAACTTAATTCGTACTTTAAATAAAACTAATTTTTCTACTTGGCCCATTAACCACCATTAACTAGAATATATCATGAGTTTATTTCAAAAAAAGTCGCTAAGTACATTTATGATAGAGTTGAGCTTTTAAGTGTGTTTTTGTAAATTTACACCTTACTTTTTTAAAAACAACCCAAACATACATAAATTGTATCAAAATGAAACAATATTATTTAACAAAAATAGTTACAATAAGTACACAATGTCCTGCTTTCTCAAAAAAGATCTCAGAGGAGATATTCATCTAAATACTAACTGATTTATTTTTAGGCGAAGCTCCATCTAATTGTACTAAAAAAGCGTAAAAAACAAAAAACAAAGTTGAGCAGACAATAGTTGCATGAATTTTAAAAGAGCATGGGTATGAGGATTTACTAAAATTAATATACGAGAATTTGTTATTGACGAGCTGTAATAGTGCTTATAGCGGAGCTGACTCCATGCATTCTCTACCTGACGTCTTGTTCCTTTCCTAAAATTGTTATTTAACTATAAATCCATAAAATTACGTAGAACAATTACGCAAGGATTTGATATTGCATTCCTTAGAGTTTTATTTTGTCTGCTGAATGCATTAAAATACAAAACAAACACGTATTATAAACAATGTTTTTGGTTGTCTATCTGTTCTTCATTACGTCGTTATGAAAAAAACAATTATTTGTTTTTGATTGTTATGTATTGTTGAAAATCATTCGCTGGTACAGTATAAATAAAAAACAAAGATGAAATGTTTGGTTTTGTTTTGATTTTACCAACAACTGATTAAATAATGATAAATTATTTCAGTCAACTACCCATCGCTTCTCATCATTTGTTTAACATCGTCCCTTACATCTGTATAAACACAAGAACCATAAAATTACTGATATTTTATTTTAAATTAATTTTATTTTATTAATTTATGTTATAACGTAATTTTAAAGACCTTGGTACATATACATAACCTTATCTGTCGAATGGTCGTTCGCGATTTAAATGTGTTATCCCAATATTAAATATGATATGCATTTAATATTTTCTTTTCACATTAAAACAATTAAATATACTATTACTTCATTTTTAGTTGTATTTTTAGGTTTAAGAACTGTTTTTGTTGTCAAAAATTGTTGGTCAGATTGTAAAGCTTTAGTTTGTTGATTGTTGTCAACTTCTGGGGCTTGCTTTGATTTGATAAGAGTCAAATCATTAAACATGGGTTTGTGTTTCATTGGATCCCATAGTGAAAAGACAGGTAAAACTCTCCTAATTCCTAAAATTACTATAAAATTGTAAATAATGTATAGTATTTATAAACTGGGTTAAATCTTTGAATCTATTCATATACCAATCGAATATTGTTTTAGCTTAACTAGAAGATCTATTACATGGTATGAAATATTAATATTGAAAATAAGGAAAAATTTAATTAAAAATTATTGTTGTTTTTTTTTTTTTTTATAGAAATTGTCTTATCAAGAATAGATATAGCTCAGAAAAATGTTGAATATATTTTTCATATTTATTTGAATTTATATTTCTAAAACTCCCATCGAATAATGGCCTAATATTATAAAACTGAGATATACACCTGATTTAATTTAATAATGAAAGCACATAAACTTGTTATTATTTTGTTCGCATTAATTTTATTTATTCCACAGTGTGATTAATTGATTATTAAAAAAAAAAAACTTTAGTGTTTATTTATTAATTAGTTAATAAAATGTATTAATATTTCTATTTTAAATTTTTTCCAGAGGGTCGTGTTGAAGTTTCAAGAGAAAACAAATACCTTAGCACACTTGCACCAGGCAAAGTTTTTGGTGAATTGGCTATCTTATACAACTGTAAAAGAACTGCTACGATAAAAGGTATGTACTGAGATTATAAATTATAAATAATCTTTTTGTAATTTTTTTTGTCTCCTTCGCTTATCAAATTCTAATCTTTTATATTTATGTTTCTGTCATTTTCATTAAGTCCAACATTTACGACTTTCAAACAATATTATTCATTTTTTCTTTAATCTATGGTAATGTGAATCATCCAAGAGATGTTTTCTTATAAACATTCTTTATAATTTGTTACTAGCAAATATTTGGTGGTAAATTAAATTGATAAAATAAATTTTTGAAACTATTAATGTTATTTTGCTTTTTTCATTGATGATGGACTTCAGCATATACTGAGTATTTATGTTTTTTCCTATTAAATGTTTATTTAACTATACAAACTTAGATTCATTAAGAAGAACTTCAAAATATTTAATTGTCACAGTTTTAATTAGTAATGAACTTCATTTATTTGTGTTGTTTTACAGCTGCGACTGATTGTAAACTATGGGCAATCGAGAGGCAATGTTTCCAGACAATTATGATGAGGACTGGTCTCATCAGACAGGCAGAATATACAGACTTTTTGAAGAGGTATTAGTTTCTTTCTGTTTTTATTTCTATATTAGCCTAAGTGAGAATATTATATAAGTCTAAAATAGGCCATAACTGTAATTATTCATTTATTTATTATTTTTTACGAATTTCTTTTTTTTTTAATTCATATTTTTAAAAAATTTACTATTCAAATGCAATCGAAATAATGCGCTCTCCTATAACACCGTAGGAGAATGAACTTGCTTATTTATTTTATCACATTGGTAAATTGTTAGTAATATTGATGGCTTTGAACATATAAACTTGGTTTAGTTCTCCAATCTCTTCCGTTACACATTACAGCTCCTCCAAAGTACATTTTGTCCTACGCTTTAGAACAGGAGTCTCCAAAATTTTTGTCCCACATGCCGCATTGAGATCTCAATCTAAGTCCTGCGGGCTATGACTTGCAATGGAAAAAAAAATCTTGGTCCATAAATGACACTTCTGTTGTGAAATGAGCGTTCTAAGAGAATAATAAATGTTGTAGTAACTTCTTGTGTTAGTAATTAATTTCATTTTTTTTAAATAGTTTTAAAATTTTACCATGTAATCAAAGAAACGTTCGTGGGTCAGATTGGAGGTGCTTGCTGGATGTATCCGGCCCGCGGGCTTCAGTTTTTAGACCTCTTCTTTAGAACTTATCAATAGTCTAGAGTTTCATTTGAGGACATCTTCATTACTACAATAACTTAAAATACTCGTAGGCTTCAACTTTGCTTACAATATACTATATGTGTTTAAATAGACAAACAAGTCCAATCTCTTTATATTGAATAGTGTTGATTCCGTAGTCAGTATTTATTTTTTTAAATTAAATTATTTGTTACGGTTGTAAATATATAAAAAATATATATTTCTTTTTATTTTACAAATTACTTTCAAAATTGTGTTATAAAGTAATAGTTCATCAAACGTATGAATTTCTTGTTAGATACTAATATCTTTCTAAGTGTATTTATTAATTTACTTTGTTATTTTCAGTGTACCAATATTTAAAAACTTGCCAGAAGAAACACTCATTAAAATTTCTGATGTTTTGGAGGAGGTGAGTTAAACAAATGTTTATATTATACATTCATTTGAATAATTATATCTAATCAACGATATTGAGATATATTAATAGTTTAATTAATTTACAATTAGAATAGTTTCTCCCCCAGCAATTTATATGTTGGTATTTGTAAATATAGTTCCAAATATCTGGTCATGAAATTTTTTCTGTACTGTTACAGCTAATGATATTCATATTAGTTGTTTAGTTATCATTTCATTTTGCATGAAATGGGGAAACCTATTTACTTTATTTCTTGAATTTTGCTTTGAATATAATATAATAACAGAATATATATAATATACTTTTCTCTATACCGTATATTTTTTTTATTATTATTCCATTTTCAGACATACTATAATGAAGGTGATTATATCATCCGCCAAGGAGCTAGAGGAGATACCTTTTTCATCATTAGTAAAGGACAGGTGTGTTTATATTTTATGTTTCTAATTTACATTTTGTTGAAAATACGGAAGTTATTAAAAAATTATATAATTATTCTTAATTCTTTAGTTCAATTTCACTTACTTTATAAAGTATCATAACAGGGCTATTAGGACAAGAATCAAAAAATATAATTAGTGCCTCAGGACCTAGCGCTGATGCTGCTACCTATAGTAGAGATTGTGAATTATATCAATAATTAGTGCCTTATGTTTAATCTAAAACTTTTTTGGGAGGTACTAATAGTCCCAATTTATAGTACATATTTATTTTATTTTCATTAGATTGCAAGTTTTATAAAGTGTTACTAATTTTTATTATAAAACAGTATTCAGCTAGTCAATGCGAATGAATTAAAATTAATGATGCTTTTATATATTTTATTATTACAACAGCTCATAAGTTATCATGCGCTATTTAAACAATAAAATTAATTTTGATTTCAGGTGAAGGTAACAATCAAACAACCAAATTCTTTAGAGGAGAAATTTATTAGAACTCTTAGGAAAGGAGACTTTTTCGGTGAAAAAGCTCTTCAAGGGTAAGGATATTGATTTTTATTTATTTTATTACATAAATTAATTTATTGAAATGTCGTATTAATTTAAAAGTGATGGATCTCCCTAACTCTCTTCTGAATAACATTTTTAACTATTATTTTATTATGAAATGAATTGAATTGTTTTGTCAACAATTGATTTGTTTTGTAAACAATTGATTGTACCCCTCAACTACTGCTAATAAACCTATCCAATCTCCACTCATCCAATCCTCTGTCGGGTGCAATGGAATGGTGCAAATCTCAAATGATCTATGTCATAGAGTTGTGTTAGTAAGCGAACTGACTAATATAGAACTGAACCTATACCTCTATCCGAATCAATCTGAGGCCTGTGTTTCATCATCCCCAGTCATAATATTTTCTTATTCTCTAATATGTTAAGGAATTACAAAATTTAACAATTTCTTGTTAGTTTTTTCGTTTAAAATATTGAGACATTGATATATTGATATAAATTCAAACCTTAGGATCAGAAAAGAATAATAGAGTTAACGAAAAATTTAAAAAAATATTTCTTATAGTTTAAACATTGCAAACTAACCTACAAAGTGATGAAATTTAGCCCAGAAAGTTTTTTTTTTTTTGTATTCCTGGCACAAAAATAATATAATAGACAAAAACTTTTAGAAGGAAATAACTTTGATTAAAATATCAACAAAATGATTATTTCTTAGATTTGGTGCTCATTTAAAAAAAAATGTGAATGTCTAATTCTAACATTTTTAATTCTAAAATGGTACATCCATACTTTCAATATATTCCAAACAACCATATAAATTAGTTATTTATTTTATTTTTTTCTGTTGACATTGCAAACAATGCAGATCTTTTGTTGTCTTAACAAGCCTACTCAATCTCTGCCTATGTTGGGCTATTTCTTTGCAGTTATCTGACTTCTATCGAGGCATTCATTGTTACTTATAGGCTTCCAGATGGATTGCTACGAGCTACATGCCCCGCCCATATTAACCTCTGTGCCTTCATGTCATGAGATATTGATTGACCAGTTTTTGTAAGCACCTCTTTTTTGTTCTTTCTTATCCATGTGTTAGTACTCTGATCCTAGATCACTCTAGTTATTTGTTAGTTGGGCAGAGGATTTTTCTCTCAAGTCTTTCAACATTTTTTTCTAGGATGCTGGTTAGTGTTCTGGTCTCACAGCCATTTATTATAACTGGGTTTATCATAGCATTGAACACCCTTAATTTGAGATTTATAGAGATTTTGGGAGTTTCAATACCCCTAAATGGAAGAAGAAAGCTCTGTTTGCACTTGTTATATGCTGGTCTATTTCCGATCATTGGTCATTCATTAGGAATTTTATGGAGTCGAGGTATTTGAATTTTTCTACTCTTGGGTACGATTTTCCTTCTACTCAGATCCTGTTATTGGTATAGACTTTTCGTCTTATTATCATGTATTTTGTTTTGTCTTCATTTACGTGTAGATCGATTCGCTCTGCTTCTCTTATCAGGAGTTCTAGTTAGTTTCTTAATGTTCTCTGGATTACTTCCAAGGACATCTATATCATCTGCATATCTGCAAGGATTTTATTATTCATTCCGATGTCGATCCCTCCATTTTCATGAGATATTATTCTTATTTCCTTCTCCAGCTCTAAGTTGAACAAGATTGGTGATAGTCCATCTCCCTGCCGCAAGCCCGTTCTAACTTTGAAGGCTTCAGATGCTTCTACGTGTATTAGAACTCAACATTTAAGGTCTTTTGTAAATGCCTTTGTCAATCTCACCAACTTACCGAGAATTCCCAGTTCAGTCATGATTTTCCAAACACTGTTCCTGTCCAATAGAATCATAGGCTGCTTTGAAATCCACAAACAGGGCGTCCTGTTCTACTTCCCATCATTTTTCGAATACTCGTTTTAGGATAAAGATCTGGTGTAACTTGCTCCTTCATTTTCTGAATCCAGCTTAGTGGTCGCCTATTATATTTTCGTAATACGGATATATCCGGTTGAATAGGATATTATCTTATAAGCATCCAGAAGGAATCTTTTTTTTAGGATAGGGCAGATGAGGGCTATATTCTAAGCCTCTGATTTCTTTTCCTCCCATATATTCTGAATTAGTTATTATTAATAATCATAAATTAATTATTTTAAATTGGAAGTTCAAAGAATTAATTGAAGAATATACAAAATATTAGGATTAATGTAACTGCTTATTTTCTCATATCTATTGCACCTGACAGATTGTTTTTGAAAAAATAATCATAAATTCAATTATATTTAAAATTATTTTTATCATTAGAAGCTATTGTAATATTCAACAATGTCAGGATCCCATTTTGCATTAAAAGCTTCATATTTTATGTTTTTAATGAAAGAATTAAATATTTGATTGTTTTTTTATTTGGATTTATAAAGAGACCCCATTACTTTTTTATTATTTTCAAATACATAAAAAATATTAATTATTGCAAAATATTTTTTTCAAGCCAATTAAACTAATCATAAATGTTTAGATTGTTGGATGTCATTCGACAAAGGGAAATTTTCCTCGGGTACGATAAGTATATGGGTGTCAAATGCTAACTCACCTCACTATATTAATAATTCCATTATAGCAATTGTTTAATATTATATATCATTTTTCATTATGTTACAAGATGAATGGTAACTAACACTAATAAGGAACGTGTTTGGGAATTTTTAGTTAGATTGTTTATCAACATGGAATGGAGTTTCGGAATGCATCATCTCCAATTTGTTTTATATATTATTTTAACAATTCTATACCATGTTTCATTCATTACATCATAAATTTAATTGTTCGCATTGAATTGCACATTCACCCTCCTTATATTAAATATTAGTCTTTAAAATCATAATCTTTAGTGTTACATTGCAATCATAAGTGACTGACAGTAGCGATCATGTGCATACATGTATCTATAAATGCATGTATAAATGTTGCTTTTCCTATTATAAAAATTCAAGTAGTTTTTAATTAACCTGTAATACCAATGGAGGTTAAAGATAATATAAATCTATTGACTTTTTTTTATGTTTATTCATTTATATGATATGATTTTATGACTAAGTGTTGAGATATTTGCATGGAAACAAAATGTGAAATTAGATCCACAGTAGAATTCATGTGATAAAAAATGTTGCAAATTATTACACAATGGTTTATTATTTCCAAATAGTTATATATCAAATGTCAGTTAGATGAAAATAAAGAAAAGGTGATTGCTAATATTGACCTGAATATTTTTTTCCCTTTTATTATTAGTAATTTTAGTCCAAAAAATTAGGGATTGGCCCCAACATTAAAACAATAAAGATGAAACTTGTCAAAATTGTTCATTACCCTAACCATAATAACTGGTAAAAAGTCCCAAAGAATCTCGCTTCAGGTTTTGATGGAGAGAGAGGGAGAAGAACAGAAAACTGATATTTTTTTAGCTTTTTGAGAATATCTCAAAAATTATGAAGTTTTTCACCAAGATCGTTCAGTACGATATTTAAGTATTTTAAAATCTTTATAAAAATGAATTTATACATTTTTTTTTTATAAAATCAATGGTTACATAGATATTTATGAGACTATATCTGTTGCATTTCTACTTTAAGCGAAAATTGCTCCAAACCATGAAGTTGATGTTCATAGTAAAGATACTTTTTTTAAGTTTAATAAGTTTTTTTAACATTTTTGATCGTTCAATTTATTATTCAAAGATTTGAATTGATTTCTTTTAATGATTCTTGAAAGTCATTGACAGTGGCCATAACTTTAAACAAACTTTTTTTTTTAGGGAGCCTTAGAAATTTAAAATTAAAACTTCCATTAAACACAATTAAACATGTACTATCCATTGCCCTAGTATTTTATAAATTTTTGTATTAGGTATGTACAAAATTATGAGTTTTAGAATGAGTCAATTTTGATGTCAGCTTATTAGAATTTTCTCTGATTTGGTTTGGTTAGCATCCTTGAATCTTAAGCTGTACCTGGTTGAATCCAGCCCATTTTTCATTTTTATTTTATAGTGATTCAATCCATAACATCACTCTTTTTCTGGTATAGGTCAGTTAATCTTTACTATTACCCACACTTAGTACTTCACTACATAAGGGTGCTAGACAATGGTGGTTTCCTCGATGACTGTATAATTGATGATTGTGATCTGTGGAAAAGTTGCAGAAATCATAAAATTACTTAATTGTGAAATATGCAACTTAAACTGATGATGTTTTTCTTTATCCTCTCGAAATAAAAGAGTTAGCTGTTAAATTGTTATCATTATTTTAATCCACTATTTTGTTTTATAAATTTAACTACCTTGGCTGTATTAGCAACTTAAGCATGTATGGCTCATGTGATTTCGTCTTTAAAGGTCTTTCTCTACCTTAACTTAAATACATATAAAACACTTAGAAAAAATAATTTAATGGCATACGGTGCCTGTTTTTATTTGGTATAGTTACTTATATAGTTATTATATACATTAAATCCTGCTGTTTATATAATTTAAATGAAAGTACAAAATATATTAATTCATTTATTCTACAATTACTGACTCTTATATTTTTAATCAATCCAAATGCCTTTCTTTTGACCCTGTTTCTATTTTTCACAAGTATGAGTTAAATTAGTCAATTAATAAATCAGGCATTGAGAGGACAGTGTTGACCATGTTGTCACAAAAGAGTGGTAAATGATTTTGAATTAATCGCTTTTACCAAAGTCTGCCTTTAGGGTTTTTTATAGGCTGTTAATGCATTATTTATATTGTTATTTCTAAGGTCTAAAAATAAGAATCAAATAAATATTTTTTTTTCTTTTTAGCGATGATTTAAGAACTGCCAATATTATAGCTGACGACCCTGATGGTGTTTCCTGTCTTGTTATTGATCGAGAAACATTCAACCAACTTATTTCGGGTCTTGATGAAGTTCGAACAAGGTACAAGGATGAAGCCATCGACAGAAAGAGGTATGTTTTATGTATTTTTTTGGTTTCTACTTAAAACTCCTCATTGTGGAAAAAGTAACAAAATATTTTCTTACCACTTGTCAAAAATAAAGTAACTGATTATGCCCTGTCCTAATAATAGTGGAAGATATGATTGGTGAAAAATTATTAATTTTCATTGTTTTAATGATGAGCAGGGCTGTCCTGAAACAGAAGGCTAGTTGAACCATCAAAAATCTTGAGTTGTAGCACATTTTTTGTGGATTATAAATTTTGGGAGGAAACAAATAGAAATATATTTCTACCAGTATATACAAATATATAATTGAATATAATATACAAATATATTTTATCAAGGGTGGGATGGTTACAATCCGATAACCGAAGCTATAGAAGATAAAATAATTTTGAGTTGATGTCCTGGTGCTCGTGGCTTTTAACGTCGACATTAATCCCTGCCCTCACTTCCTGCCACGGGAAAATCCCGTGTAGCCTTAAAGGCGACAAAAGGGAAAAATACAAAAAAAAAATTATATATATACATATATATTTTTATTCTTTCTTCCTTCAATTGGTTGAAACAATTTTAATTATAATAAAAGTATCTAATTTTATAATTAGATGTTTCAATTATTTATTTGTATTAACGGACTTATTCCAATTTTGAAACATTTTACTCTTGAAATTGTTCTTTTAAACATTGTTGTAATACCATTGAAATTAGTGTCTCGTTTCAATAATTAATCATTTGCCTATGGATTTTTAATGAGCAAAATCTGTTATTATTTTTATCATAGCTAGGTTTTAATGGTTATTTAATTTCTGCTAAATCATCATTATCAATACCTTAAAATAGTATTAATTTATTTTTTTTTACAAATGGCACACTAGGATTTTGGAAATCGTAAAAGGTAAGATTTTATTAAAGATATAACAAAATTAAAGGAATAATTTGTTTTTATTTAAAAATATAATTTTTTACTGAAAAAATGATTATTAAATACTATAAACTCACATTTGTAAAATAGTGCATTACATAGATGTTATCAAATACCTGTTAAATTGATTTTCATTTAATTGATTTATTACTTTTTTTTTTTAGAACATATGCTAGTTTAGAATGACATTGCACTTAACCTATTTTCTTGGCCAATTATATATACAGTTATTTCACCCAAAAAGTTCATTTTACAATAAAAAAATGTTTATTGACAAAGTGTGTTGGTTTTTAATGGGTTTTATAAAAAAGAAAAAACGCTTGAAAAAAATTCTGTAAGTTTCAAATGTTCCAAAGTCATGGATAGTTTCCAATATTTCATTACAAAGTAATTGTTTAAAATTTCACATTTAGCTAATCAAAGAGGGATGAAATGTTAAATAAATAGTTATTTTATATCTGTTTTTTATTTATTGTTAACTATAATTATTTTATATTTTTTTTATGATTTTGAAATAATTTCATACTTTTTTTGACATTTAGGTTGAATGAAGAGTTTGAGGGTCTGAGACTAAGTGACCTGAAAGCTTTAGCAACTCTTGGGGTCGGTGGTTTTGGCCGTGTGGAGCTTGTCCAAATTGCAGCTGACCCTGCCAGGTCATTTGCTTTGAAGCAAATGAAGAAAAGCCAGGTTTGTAACAGTTACATGTTAAAATATAAATACTTATGTGCAGATATAATAAGTTGTAGACACTGTATGTATTTAATTTAACCAAATGTTATAATTATTTGTATGTAAATTAAAAATAGTATTACCTTATTTTCTGCTTAATAAACTTTTCATTCGAAATTGCTATTTTAGTTTTTGTTATAAAATAATGATATTCTCTTTAATACTGATTTTATTGAAAATTGTGGCTTAGTTATTGGATTACTGAGATGTCGGGCTAAATTTTATTTGAATGTTTTACAACTGATTTTAAATTTCTCTCTCTACCATGTAAACCCAACTTTGAGCAGCATTTAATTACTTTTTACAATTTAATTAATAGATCTGGTAATTATGTTGGCTGAATAAAATAATAATCTGATACGGCCATTAAGTCCAAATTTAAACCATATTGATCATCTAAATTTAATGGGATCAGTTAATAAATAAAAAATAAAATTCACTATCTGAAACTGCTTCTTAAAAGAAAAATATCCTCCAGAACTTAGTATAAAATCATTTAATGGTCTACTAGGAAACAAACAAGCTGATGTACTCGCACAGATGGCTTTGGAATGCCGCAAACTAGTCCTTTCCTGCCCTACAACTCTGCTAAAAATATTTAGCAGAACTAGGAAGAGGTTAGAAAATGGCAAAAACAACAAGCTGCTGGAAAAAATAAGAGAAAGTATGTGGTAGAGGCCGATTATTCAAACTCAAAGTAGGAAATCTCGGTGGCATGTTTCCACAGCTTGAAGAGACATTACCTACAAAATCATTCGCACAGATCATGTCATAGAAAGCCCTATATGCTCCGTTCTGTCTGATGTTCTTCCTAATGTGATGTGCATAGCTGCTAGCAATGGGAGCATTAAATTAGATAATTTCGTTATTGCAAAAAATAGCCATAAATTATGGCGTTCTTGCCAACATCATAGGTGTTGAATAAAAAAAAAGAAAAAAGTGTTAATACTTTGTATTTGTTATAAATTCTTGCAAAATGTCTAATAAGAAACATGTTTTTGCAGATAGTTGAAACGCGGCAGCAGCAGCATATCATGTCTGAAAAAGAAATAATGGGAGAAGCCAATTGTGATTTTATCGTGAAATTGTACAGAACATTCAAAGATAGGAAATATTTATATATGCTAATGGAATCTTGCCTGGGTGGAGAGCTTTGGACGATTCTCAGGTTTGTTATTATGTCCATTAAAATCGTTTTAGATTTAATCATTTATTTTAGAATTATCTAATCAACTTATTATTTTATCCTTATGATTTTTTTTTTATTTTAAAATTATTTTTCAGGGATAAAGGCCATTTTGATGATAGCACCACTAGATTTTATACAGCTTGCGTCATTGAAGCTTTTGATTATTTGCATTCAAGGAATATCATTTACAGGGACCTAAAACCTGAAAATCTCCTTTTAGATATCACAGGTTATGTGAAGCTGGTTGATTTTGGTTTTGCTAAGAAATTACAGGTAATTTCATTTTTAGTTTTCTATTAGATAGCCTATTGTTTATAATTTGTGTAGTTATGTATATATAAATATGTAATTTCTCTTCTTTTTTTTTCATCACAATTAAGTAATTGTGAGAAGATTTTATGTTCATTTGTATATATATTTTATTTTTTATTTTTTACTGGTTACATACTTTTTAAATAATGTATATAATATTAAAATTTTTAGAAGTTAGTTTTTGGCCAGATTTGTACTTTACTTTGTATTAACTCATCATTGTTATTCTAAAGGGACTTAGTCTCAGAATAAAGTTTAATTTTCTATTCTATTCTATTCTATTCTAATTTATTATAACATTTTCTCTGTAACGTATATATAATTTAAATTTTTAAACTTACCACTTTTCATTACCTATTAACTATATTCATTCCTTACCAAATTAACAAGTTGGATATTAAACATTTTTACATATAAGGTAAGGGAATCAGGATAGCTTAGTAAGGTACTGTGATACTCTTCTCTGGGTCCCAGATTCTAGTCCAGGTGTGAGAGGTAAATGTTTATTCTCTTATATCAGCTGTGGATGGACCCAGGGGCCAGTAAACCCTCCTCAAGCACATCCCATCCAGCCTCTATAAATTAACTACTTTTAATCAATTAAGGAGGAAAAATCTGACAGTTGAACATGATATCGGTTGTATCTTCTCCTTTCTCAATCATTAATCTATTGGGTTGTCCGGAAAATAATGCAGGATTTTGAGTTTTCTTTAAAATACCCCTCTATATAACAAATAACTGTTTATGTTTACTTGATTATTCATTTGTATGAATGTCAGCACTTATTAATTCTCTTTCAAAACATAATGTTTGTTTACTTCTGTAGCATTTCACTGTTTAGAAATAATACAATCTTTACTAAGATGTCAACACGCGATTTTCATATAATTTTGTTTTATGAGTTTAAACTGGGTCGGAATGAGGCCCAGACGGCCATAAACATTAATCAAGTCTGGGATGAAAGCAGCATTAATTAGTGCACTGGTCAATGGTGGTTCAAAAAATTTCGGAAGGGAGACTTCAGCCTTGAAGTCAAAGAAGGTCGTGGAAGGACTTCCTCTCTTGATGAAGATGTTCTGCGAGCTTTGATGGAAGAAAACCTCAGAACAACTATTCGAGAACTTGCAGGGAAAATTAACCTTAGCAAATCAACCATCGATGATCACTTCAAGGCGATTGGAAGGGTAAAAAAGCTTGAAAGTTGGGTTAACATTAAACGACCACAAAAAAAAAAAAAAAAACCAGCATTATGAAGTTTGTGCTACACTTCTTTGCCGAAACGAAAACGACCATTTTTTTGTCCAGAATCGTTCATTGTGATGAAAAGTGGATACTTTACAATGACAGTAGACGTTCTGGACAGTGGCTCGACAAAGGAGAAGCAGCAGAACATTTCCTCCTTTCCTCCCCCCACCAACTAAGCCCCCAACTCATCAAAAAAAGGTGATGGTTACTGTGTGGTGGGCTTCATTTGGTTTGATACACTACAGCTTCTTAAATCCTGGAGAAACTATCAATGCTGAATCGTATTGTAACCAAATTAATGTGATGCATCAGAAGGGGCTCATTTTGTTGCTTGACAACACCCGGCCACATGTTTTACATGTGATGTCACAAAAACTGTTGGAGCTTGGATATGAAATTGGCCACACCCGCCCTACTCTCCAGACCTCTCGCCTGCATATTATCAATTTTTTGTAGACACATCGGCCGCTTCTTATGTGACAAAAAATTTAATGGACAAAGGAAATTAGAAAATGCGTTTTTGCAGTTTATCGATTCTAAAGATGAGAAATTCTATTCTGAGGGAATGGAAAAGTTGCCAACATGTTGGCAGAAATGTATTGATAAAAAAGTGGAGACGATTTTGATTAAATAAAAAAGTTGATTAAATAAAACCAAAATCACTAATTAACCAAAATTATTAATTAAGTTTTTTTTCTTTATTTATTATTTATTTTTTTTCTGTTGGCATTACAGACCTTGTAAGTTGTTTGCCCTCTCCATCAATCCCTTTCTTGTACTATTTCTTTCCAGTTGTCTGCATGGAGCTCTATGACATATTAGTTTTTGACCTGTCGATCTGGTTTTTATCCTTCCATATGTTTTCTCTTACCTACTATTAAAGCGTTCATTGTTGGGTAGATTGCTTCAAGCTACATGCTCCTCCCTTCTTAACCTTCTTTTTTTCGTCTAATGACATGTTGATTGACCAGTTTCTGTTAGCCGTTCTTTATTGGTATTTCTCCTTTGTACTTTAGTACTCTGATCCCAGATCATTTCGGTCATCATGTGGAGGACTTTTCTCTCAAATCTTTCAATATTTCTTTCTAGAGAAGTGGTTAGGTTATTTAGGTCTATTATGCAGCTGTAAATGAGGACTGGTTTTATCATAGCGTTGTACACCCTTAATTTTAGATTTCTTAAGATTTTTGGGGATTTCAATAATTTTGAATGGGAGAAGAAAGCTGTGCGAGCGCTTGTTATACACTGCTCTATTTGCGACTGTTGCTCATTCATTGAAGTTGTAGTTGGTTTGAATTTTTCTACTCTTTGGAACTTAAATTATATTTTGTTTTTTCTTCATTTACTTGTATGCCGATTCGCTTTGCTTGTTATTTTTATTTCTTATTCGCTTATCAGACCTTTAGCGAGTGTTTCAATGTGGTCATGATTACCTCCAAGGACGATAATACCATCTGTTTATCCAAGAATTTTATGATGTATTTTTTTTTTTATACATTCATGTATATAATGTTCAATATATTTATAATTTTTAAATCTTGTCAAATTAATCGGTAAGCTTCACATATTTTTAAAACAATTTTTTTTTTTATTAGTTTTAAAATGAATATCTCAGTTTCTCTTCTCATTCAAAAGTAACAAAATAAAAAAAAAAATAATGATAATAATGTTTAGAAATAATTCTTATAAAATGAGTTTCATCATTAATGCCATTTTTTATATCATAGCATGGCCGGAAAACATGGACATTTTGTGGTACACCAGAATATGTGGCTCCTGAAGTGATTTTAAATAGAGGTCACGACATCAGCGCTGATTACTGGTCACTAGGCGTCTTGATGTTTGAATTACTTACTGGTATGCAATGATTTTATAATATTTATAGTTGAATATAATATTATTGATGGTATTATTTATTATATGATTTCTATTATGCAGGAACACCTCCCTTCACTGGTGCAGATCCCATGAAGACTTATAACATAATTTTGAAAGGCATAGATGCGATAGAATTTCCAAGAAACATAACGCGTAATGCAAATGTACTGATTAAAAAACTTTGCAGGTATATTATATTTCCTTGAATATGAATCATCAAAATAATTATATTATAATTACTTATTTTTAATGTATTTTCTTTTTTATTTTTAGGGATAACCCAGCTGAAAGATTAGGATACCAAAAAGGTGGAATCAGTGAAATACAAAAGCACAAGTTCGTAGTTTTTATGATTTTATTATAAAATTTATCAGTTCTGCCATAAATACTGTTACAAAAGTTGAACTTTGTTTACATCCTTGGGTATTATTTAGATAATCTTTACCTCTATCAGGTTATTTTCTTTGCATGTCAAGATAATAATCCCAATTAGTTTTTATTTTTCTTTCGCTTAGTTAACATGGCATGGGGTGATAAAGAAAATCGGATAGCTGTGATCGCCTTACACAAAGTTCGAAAATGTAGGTCAGAGATTTTCAAAACTTTGAAACTTTTGGGTATCAGCCGTATGTTCTTGTACCACACTATAAATAGATTTAATGAGACCCTATCTGTATGTGACAGACTTTGGCCGGGTCGTTTCCACACTGAGAACGGCAAATGCAGTGGCTGTTCGAATCAGTAGAAATCCCATTCGAAAACAACAAATCATGTCTCAGGAAATGGGAATCTCTGTCAGATCAATGTCTTGTATAATAAAAAGTGACCTTAGGATAGGGGCATTTCAAAGAATGACTGGAAAAAGGCTAACACTTCTCTAAAAAAAACTCCCCTAGAGTGGATAGATGCAAAGTGCTCCTTGGCCGTTACACCAATGGTCTTCATCGAAAAATTTTGTTTAGCGATGAGAAACGTTTTACAATTGAAGAAAAGTTTAATATCCAATGTGATCGTGTGTACGTACACAGTTCTAAAGAAGCCCAGGAAGTCACTGGAAGAGTGGAAAGAGGTTATCACCCTTCCTCAGTGATGGGAGTTTGCTTTGATGGCACCACAAACCTCCGTTTTTATGAAAATGGAGTTAAAACATCCGCTAAAAACTATCGGACGATATTTTGGAACCTGTTGTATAGCCTCTTAAAGATACTATATTTGCTGGAATTCATTGGGTTTTCCAGCAGGATTTCGCTCCAGCTCACAAGACCAGGTCAACTCAGCAGTAGCTGCAAAAGAACATTCCAGAGTTCATCTCTGCCTTGGGTGGCCCTCAGGAAGCCCTGATCTCAACCCACTAGCTTATCAGCTTTGGTCCAAACTGGAGGGGATGGTATGCCACAGAGCAAACCCTAACTTGGAAAGCCTCAAACAATCTCTGGTCTTAGCAGTTGAGCACTTTCCTCAAGAAGTGCTGCATGCTGCTGTTGATGACTGACCACAGAGATTAAATGCTTGTGTCAAGGCAAAAGGGGGACATTTTCAGTAATTTATTTTTTGTTTTACTCTCTATAGATGTACATTTTATTTTCTAACCAAGTTTTTGAAAAAATTAATTTTTCTGTTGAAATCTTTATATATTTCATTGTAACAATATTTATGACAGGTCTAGGTATTCATATTTTACATGTTTTGACTCATAAAATGGTTATTTACAATAGAGGAACATTCTTTTCTCCAAAAGTTGACATATATATCCACTTCTCAAAAATAAGGATTTTTTTCGTAAATTAAAATTCTAAATTGAAAAATCATTTGTGTTTATTTCAAATTCAACTTTCAATTTTCTTCCTTCAAATAGGTGTTACTAATCATCATGTTCACTAAAAATTTTACTTATCTATATGAGAAATTTCCTTAATTTTAAAAGTAGGTCGACTTTTGATAGTTTGCTCTTTAATGGTTTGTCATCAAAGACCTTATCACAAGAATATATTGTTTGTTGAATTATTTAAAAAACTGCTAATTACTAAATTATTGTTTATTATTTCCATATATTATAATAATATCCTTATACTTTGTTCAATCTAAATTCAGCTTACCATCCTCTATTTGGCATTTTTTATGCTGAGCTAGAAGATGAAAGAATTTCCAGTTATAAGTTTCATAGTATTTATTGAATTTGTTTGCACCAATAATAATATATATCATATCTGTTTTACTAGTTTTTCTTTTTTAAATAATCACTTGGTGCTTACAGGTGGTTTGACGGCTTCAATTGGGAAGGACTCCGTGCTAGGACCCTCACGCCTCCGATTACTCCTAAAGTGAGAAACGTAACGGATACCTCTAACTTTGATGATTACCCAGCTGATTCGGAAGGACCTCCACCAGACGATCTCTCGGGTTGGGATGCAGATTTCTAGATTCACCTTCCTTGACTATTGGAGTCTTGTATCTCGCAGACATACATTTGTATTATATTTATATAATTTAAATTAAGTCATTGTAAAGATGCAGATGAAAATTGAAAATGAACTTTAACGATTGACAATCAAATAGAAATGCGTTTGTAAACAATTTGATAATAATGACAAGCATTTATGCCATATTTTAGTGCATACCCATGTTTTTAATGTATATTATTTTTTTTTATAAATATTTTATTTCAGTCGAACCGTGCTAGAACACATTTTATTAGTGACTTTCATAAATTGTACTGTAGAGAAATGAAAACTATATGACAATAAGTTTATTTATTACTATAATAAGGGAAAATAATATAAAAATATAGTTTTTACCTATATACTAACTAACGACTGAGTGATGTTTTTCTTATTTATACTGTCATATTTTTACCCCAAAGTTGCTACAATATATTGCAACAGACCTTGAGATTGGGAAAGCTGGTGAAGAATCTTGAGCTTGAGTTTTGTCATTTGTCATTCAGACATGGTATTTTTTTAATGTGCCTTTAAAGCTTTGAATATCAAAGTAATGTAAAAATAGAATAATATATTAAGATATATATATACTTTATGTTAAATGAGAATGAAGAATGTAAATTGGATGAAAAACAAGTTATATATGGTAACACTGTTGTGATACGTACCGTTTTCTTGTTAAAAATGTATAAAAGTATAGCTCATTGTTTTCAATAAATTAATTTAAACTGTTTTAAATATAGTATATTCCTTTATACTCTTTTAATATAACCCATTTATAGGTAAAATATTTTATATATTTGTTTGTGCCAAAAAGGATGAAATATATATATATATTAAAGCTGCCCTCATTATTAAATTGTTAATTAGTTTACAATTTTTATTTTTTCTATATTTACTAGGATAATAATATCAATAATCTGATTTAAATTTTCTGTTAAGCATTTAGCATTATGACTGTAAATATTTTTTGTAAAAATATAGATTTTTTTTTGTTTTATTGTTAGTATTTTTAATTATACAACCTGAAATATTCTTGAATCTATCTATCAACCATGTAATATCATTTTTTGTTTATTAGCATTGGGTTTAATTAAATTTTGTTAAATATTTTTAATATTCCCTTTGATGTTAATTCTTAAAAAAGAAAAAAAAAAAATCTTTTCTCCTTTCTTCACTAAATTTGAAAGGAAATCGATTCCTGGAATTGCAAGGATAAAAGATGTATCAATTGTTTGAAACACTTGGAATAAGCCCTTTTAGAATAATATACAGAGATTAAAATTTGGGCTTTAGAGCCTCTGAGAATGATCACAAAATAAACAGATAGCTATAATAAATAAATAAAAAAAAGTATACATTACGTCCTAACTTCAATCAATTATGAAATAAAAATATTTAAAATCATCTATTAATTTATATACATATTTACAGCAACATCTATTTATAAATTTATAGGTACTGAAGGGATAAGTGATTAAGCAGGCAGTATTTAAAGGTAGGGAGGGTATTGGAGTGGCAAATGTAGGAAGGGAGAGAATTCCATAGAGATGAGGATTGAATAATGAAAGATCTTCATGAAAGGAGTCAGAGGTTCACTGGGCGCTTGTATACAAATTTAAAAACTGGGAGTGGGTTTTGTGGGAGTGAACAGAGGAACAGAAACGAAGAAGCTTGGAGATGTATGAAACATAGCGGAATTGCATGATTTGGAAGAGGAAGAATACTCGGAAATAATTAATGGTAGAAAGGATAAAGCCACTTCAGCTCTTCATAAAAATGGGAGACAGAGGCATCTCTTAGGATTCTACATAATAATAATAAAAAGGCTTGAGCAGCAGAGCTCCATCACTAAGGTTTTATTTTTCACTTATTTTTAATTTTAAAAAAATAGAAAGGGATTAAATTGTTTCTTTGGCGTTAAATAGAGAAATAAAAGCTTTGCAAATTATTACTCAATGCTTCATTATATTCAAATAGTTATTATGTTCAATATGTATAGTGAACTACTTTAACTAACACATTGGAAAAATGGTGGCTGGTGAAGAGAACCCCCAAAGGCACCTCTCCAATACCAGCTTAATATATTTACAAAATTTCAACTTTCCAACTTTGTTAGGAGAGGCTATGGAGATGCGCAATACTTAAAAAACAGGAAACAGAAACAAAAAAGGAAAGTTTAATAATATTGTTCTGCCTGGAAATAAACTATATATACCAAATTTCAGCTTATTCAGTCAAACAGGGGCCGCTGAGAAAGCCAAAATATAGCGAGAAAATTATATATATATATATCATAACCACTAGCGGATCCAGGATTTGATTTTGGGGGGGGCTTCAGCCCGAAAGCTTTTTTTTCTTAAAAATGAGGATAATTACTTGGGAAAAAAAGAAAGAAACTAACTACCTATATGAAATGGTGTTTAAGTGATTCCTTAAGTCCTTTTAAATGTAATTACACGAACAATAATACTTTAAGACATAATTTTTTAATATTTTTTTTCCATAAAACATGGTTATATTTTACCATTTTGGGGGGGGGGGGCTTCAGCCCGAAAGACCCCCCCCCCCCCCGTAGATCCGCCCCTGATCATAACTGTTATTCATAAGAAACCTCCTCCCAGAATAAAGTTTATTTTCTATCGATCTATCTATCTATCTATCTACAATTCAAAGAATTAGAGAAGAGCCTCTGAAGGTACAGTAAACTTACTGTAATTAAGTATCTCTTGAATAATCATTAAAAAGGTAGGGTCTTAATAAAATCAATATTGAGACACTTAAATGGATTTTTGGCTTTTATTAACGATCCCTCTAGTCTCTTACGTCGAAATTGGGTTTTAATCCAGCCATAAATTGTGTGGCACTTACTGTCTTTTTCCACATTCTTAGAGTGAATATAACGTGAACTCCAAAAACTGTGATCTCCACTTCTCTGGCTAGGATAGGGATTTTATGGTAAGAACTATGAAAATCTATGGAACTAAAAATAGAGAGGGGTGGTATCTATGCATATGTCAAGTGCAAAAATCGTATTTTTGGAAAAACGCAATTGAAAGTTTTGAATTTTCACAGGTGCAAGTTCAATTATCGAGTTTCAACTCATGATTCTCAAAGGAATGTGATGTAGTTCTCTGAGGTTCATCTATTGTTGTAGTTAGTATATATTAGTAAGTTGATTCTTTAATTGAAAATCCTCTGCTGAATAATTTCCTACATATTTCGATGTGATTGTGTAAGTTTAATGTTCAAAATATCCTTTATCATTAGTAGTTTTAATTGAAGAAACAATACTGACGACATCTCTATTCAAGCTGGTTAATTTTCATACTGTCAAAAAATTGCTAGTATTACAAGGAAAATAAAGAAACAAAAATACTAAACATCGCAATGCCTTCATTCATGATCAGTTACGGATCGAAAGAGGAGATAGTCAGACCCTAGACAAGTTCAAGAGGATAATTACTCTGTACTAAGATTCCAGTTAAAAAGTTATAATTTATTTCTATACATTCATGTACACTCGGATTAATAATTTTAAAAAATATGAAAGCTTATCAATGATTAGCTTATATCTAAAGCCTAGTACACACCAGTAGACATTGTAGCATGATTTGTCTATAGACCGTCTAGAAACGGTCTCGAGACACGGTCTCACGGTGTTATGTCTCGTCTAGCGCCCAAACTACGGTGTGAATTTTTCAGTCTCATCTTCGCGGGAGGACATAGTTTTGTTGGAAATGAATTCCCGTTTAGTGCTAATTACAAGTGAAAGAATACGAAAATGTAAACGTTGGTGGATGCGCAAAGTTTTCGCGGAAAGACCTAGGTTTGGTAATGCGTTATTAAATAAATTAAGATTGGGAGTCGCAACGGTATTCTTGAATTAGTTTTAAAACCTTCTCGTTAGACCATAAGTTTTCAAAAGAACTGCAAAACTTTGAAAAATAACTGTCTCGCCTCGAGACGCCAAGTGACGTCCACACAGTCAAAATATTTCGCAACATATCTAACATTGCATGCGGTCCCATTCCGATCGGGAGACTTTATACCTGCTATATTTGGTCTCGTGACAGGCATGTAGACGGGGATTGGTCTATAGTCATGACTAGGTAGGCAAACTGAGACATATCTCAGAGACCGAAATCGCGCAACATGTTTACTAGTGTGGATTTGACGTAAGGGTTCCACACATGCTTTTTGTTCCAGTTATCTGGAGTCATTTCTGAACGATAAATCGCAGATATTTCATTGGACCATCCGGTATTCCGGACCGGAACAAAGGAGCGTGCGTAGGCTTCTTAAAACACCAAATCATCTGGTTGTTAAAAAAGGGCTTATAATCATATTAAAATCTCAGTTTATTTTGAGCTTTGAACGGTAAAAAATGAACAATATTCTTGGCCAATCTGAACTATGAGCCTGACAAAAGTTATTAAGGAAAGGTGCAGGAGTTCCATCCGTTTCTTTCCTAATAGCACCTATGCTATTTATTTTCCCTCTATCCATTTTTTGTTTATCCATTTTCTTTCTTAAGAGCACCTTTAGATCAAAGATTAAATGCGTAACTCGGCGTAATGAAGAGTAGAAATCTGGATACTACTCAAAACAGATTCTTTCTCTAACATTTTTCAAAGTGAATAGCTTTTCTGAAAATTTGAATCAATACAAAAACGTTTAAACCGCTTAAATCTACAAGAAAAAATTGTTGAAAGTTAGATACGATTTGATCAAGAAATTAACCTCTTTATCAATTTACCTTCTCGGTATCACCATATTTTTTGTACACATGTTGATCTTTGACCGACCGCCTTTTAATGTAACCTGTACTTATAACCTTTCTCAACATTTTAGTATTATTTGCTTAAAATGTTAGACTCCGCAGCGATTGAGGATTTTATATTAGATCAGAAAAAATATGAAGAAAATATCCCTTATGAAAGCTTCCTCCCAGAGAACGTTAAGTTTAAGACTTATGAAGCGAAGTTAAGTGAAGTGTACAAAGATGGAAAGAGAGCAGATGGAAGAACCAGAGATGAAAGCCGAAAAATGTGTGAGTGTCAAATGCCAGATAATATTTAATCATCTGTACCTTTTTAGGCCATCTGTATTTCCTAATGTTAATGGTGTTTGCTTCGATTAAATTTCAGACATAAAGCTCGGAGCTTTAGTTGAAGCTAGAGGATCTTGTTATCTTGAAATAGGCGATACTAAAGTTCTGTGTGGTGTAAGTGGTCCCAGGGAGATTCCGTACCTTCAGGGTTATACCGAACTTGGCTCTGTTGACTGTGTCGTAGAATCAAATCCTGCATCACCATCTGATAAAGCCTACAGTGATGCCTTGAAGAGAGCATTAGAACCATCTTTCTGCCGAGTAAGTTATTGTAAGACCTTAAATTTTGAAATTAAATTAAATACAAGGTTTAATTTTAAGCTTCATATTTTTTTTGCAGCATGAATTTCCTAATTTGGAGATTTCAGTATCTGTAATGATTTTGGATGCGAGTGGTTCGGCCCTGGCTGCTGCAATAACTGCAGCAAGCCTTGCGCTAGCTCATGCTAGATTACCTATTTTCGATATCCTAACTTCTGTCACAGTGGTAAGTAGTGAGAATTTCTACACACACACATACGCACATATATATAAATATCTTAAAATATGTTTGAACGTTAGGTTTGTATTGGTATATTAGAAAACAATGAAGTTTGGACTTGAAAGTTGATCCAACAAAACTGCAAATGTAGCATTGAAATATTTTACTATTCAGATTAATTTTTAAGATTTTGGTGAATTGGTAGACTTCTGTTGTTGAAGTGATTTCTCTGTAAAAGTCACATATTTATGAAGTTGTATTGTTTTAAATTGTATAAGTTGATCAGGTGAAAGATTAAACTGAAATGTAAACTTTATTGAAGTGCTTAAGAATGTGTAGTTTTAATTTCATTAAAACTAAATTATTCTGTGTCAGTAGTTGTATTAGTCTAAGGATGGGAATTAAGAGCTGTTAATTCAGGCATAGTATTTTTTTTATCTCTTGATCATATCTTATATCATATCATATCCAGCTAACTATGTTATTGATTTTCAGGGATTACATGGGGATTTATTATTTATTGACCCAACAGACAAGGAAGAAGCCCTGTGCATGTCTTATGAAAAGAATTCCGCTTCCCAGAATCATGGCCTTATAACATTATCATATATGAGTACTGCTGATCAGGTGATTTTAATTTCTTTTGTAAATTATATATTTTTTCATTCCTCTTAAGATACGTTTACACATTAGCCTGACCGTGATGAATGTAAATGTGTACATGGCTTGGATATTTTCCTGCATTTGTGGCCGATTTGATCTGCCGTTGGTTTTAGGTACAGATCAAAGGGAGCTTACCAAAAATGTCACTTAAATGCACGTGTAGTTTGAGAGCTCAACAGATATTCATTTTTCTGCTCTGCTTTTTAAAAAAAATATTTTTCTTATTTTTAAAACATAAGAAGTTAAAAAAAATTATTTCTTTGGAACATGAGCATGTAAATATTCTTGTTTTTTTTCAATATGTAGACTTTGTATGTGTTTGTGTTTTCATTGTTTGGGAAATGTATAAATTCACATTTAGATGAGCGCATTATACCAATTTAATTTTCTAAAAATTTAATTTCTAATATTTCATTCATGTATACATACCTACATATCAGTTTAGAAATAGAAATAGAAAATAACTTTATTCTGGGACAAAGTCCCTTTAGAATAAGAAAATAGAACATAATTAAAATACTACATCTGGCCAAAATAAAATAATAATAAAAAAGAGAAAGTAAAGAAAATATTAGTTAAACAAGCTACATAAAAAAAAAAAAAAAATCTATTTACAAAACACTTAAAACTATGATAAAACACATAAGACTATGTACAGTAGGAAAAATTATAATAATACTCTTGAAAAATAAAATAATAAAAAATACATTGAGTTCTTCTTTAAAATGAGGTGTGTTTATGGCTTTAGTTAAACATGTATTTTATACTTTAACACCTAATATGTATTTTATACTTTAACACCTAACATATTTTATACATTACTCATTACATGATGTTTTTAACTACAATACAATATCCATACGGGACTAATATTAGTTCTTTTATGTAATAAGTAGTATTTATAATTACTCCTTTAAAAGAAATTTATAAGGTCAATAAGAAATATGTAAACTATATTGAAGTAGTTGTTTAAAAATCTTCTGTTTAGTTGCAAACAATTCCTTAGGAATTACTATATTTTTAATTGTCGCTTCTTCTAATGGGTTCTCACTTTTCCTATTAATCTTTAGCTAATTCCACTTCAAACTCATCTTTTCTACAGTATTCTGAATATTTTGATGTATACCGCTTGAGGTGGTTCAGACATATATCTCGAATGTCTGAGAATTGTATTGCAGAAAGCAGAAGGGAAAAGACCCAGGAAGAGAAGGTATGAAAGGTTGAAAGAGGCCTTCGACAGGATAAGTCTGGAGTGAAAGAGGAGAAAACAGCTGCTACAAGTCAGATTCATTGATCTAGCTCTATCGATATTTACCTCACACTGTGCTGCGAATGATGAGAGAAGATCAAGAAGAAGAATATTTTGAACCTCCTTATATTAATATTAGATTCTATTTACTGGGGAATTTTCATTTTGTAAAATATAAATTATTTAGTCTTTAATTTTATTTATTATTTATTTCTGTTATATTGCCAATGATTTTAAGACTAAATGATTTATTTTTAAATATTAAAATAATTTCTTGCAGATTACTCATTATTATCAGAATGGTGAAATGGACCTACAGCTTCTGCTGGATACGATGGATATTGGTATCTCTCGATGTAAAGATATTTATGCTCTTTGCCAACAGCGTCTCATGGATGAGGTTAAAATTTCGATGAAAACTGTTACCGATACTCAAAATGTAGAAGATTCAATGAAGAATCTGTCAACTTCTTAATAATTATGTTTTAACTGTTTTTGTAAATAAATTTTTAGTAAATATTTTTTTAAATGGTCTCAATTAATTTATAAAATATACGGATTGTGCAATCCATTAAAAACATTTTAATGTTAAATTTTAATTGATATATTGATAAAGATGGATATTGATATATAATCAAGGTCAATCAGAATACAGAACACAAATAGAGGTAATAACATCTCATATTTATATTATAATAATTTGTAAAAAAAATTCCTCCCGCATGGTCTTAATAAAACAGAATATGAAACATTGATTATATTATTGGTTAGTTTTTGAAAAACTGTTTTTAGAGAATCTAAAATTTTAGTTTTAATAGGTCTTTATTATTACTTCAAATTTCTCTTCACCTTACATATTCATCAGACCTATCATTATTTATTTTGTATCTTAGGCCTTATCATTTTAAAAAATAAAATTATGAAGTGTTGGATAGCAGTGGTATTATCAATAATAACTCCTATCAATTTATTTCTGCTCTTTGGACTATTGTGGATAATAAAAGGTTTGTTATCCGCATAGAAATGAGTATGGCAGCCAATTCATTTATTTATAGTGTTTCATCAATTCATCTTATATTCCTCCTTGATTTATAAATATTAATCTAAATATGGACTTCTTCACATGATATAATTGGGTATAATCATAACCTGCTAAGGACCTTCGTAACATGATATGTTTATATTCAGCAATATAATATAATAAAAATAAAATACCATTAGAGATTAGAAAGTTATTGATTTTTTATCATTTATATCATTTAATGCAATTGTTTCGTCTAGAAGGATATACAAGATTGTAGAGATTTCAGAAAAAATATTTAATTGTTCTGAGATCATATACTCTCTGAAGTTGGCCGTAGCATAAATAGGAAGAAAATGAGCATCACTGTTTATTTCTAAATTCCTGGTTGCCATTTATAGGTGAAATATGATGGGGTCCAAAGTCAGGTACTTTATCAGACCATGAGGAACCTCACCATCAGTTTTAAACTTGACGTAACTGATTTTTGCATTAATTTTTTTTCTAAAATTCTTTTAAAAATATTTAGGCTCTGTTCAAATATAGGAGATCAGTATCCAGCGGAACAGACTCAAAATATATGGCCTTGAAAGACTGCAAATAAGTCACCAAGCAATTTCAATCACCTGGAGACTTAAGTAATAGGGCGGTAGTATTCATTTTAAAATGCCTAGTCCTTCGAGAAGCTGCTGGGTAATTCTGTCAGAAAAATTTGGTTTAAAAAATAGAATTTTTATAGAAAGGGGATGGGAAAAATGTATTTATTCACTTGTGTGCTGTGTTACATTTTTTTATGCCAAGATGATCAACTCCCTTAAAGTTGAGAAATGTCTAAAAGCAAACGTAAAGTCCGACCAGTTTGCTATTCAAGCATTAAAATGAAGGGTCAACACGTTTAGTCAATTCTTTCAGATTTTTGGTTGTGATCATTTGTTGTGTTACTAGATATGTTTAGATGTTAGATTACTAGATGTCTTTATCTTCTTATGGGATAAAATTAAAAATTATCATATATGCGTAATTATATCATTCCATGCACTGTGGTCCAAAAGTCTACATGAAAATCTGTGAGAAATATGAAAAATTCATTTGATTTTGTTGCTACGAAAATTGTACCCGTTTTTCTACCTTTCTTGATTAGCACATAAATATATTTTTTGCCATGAAAAAGTTTGTTATCAATTAAATAAACTTGGTTATTTACGATAGTTTTATTTTCACACTAGCTGCTTTAGAATTTCATTTTATAAAGAAAATACTCCAAGTTGATAATTTTTTTATATTTTCAGCTATCTTCATAGTAAATTGTTATTAGAAATAGAAAAGCAGAATTATAATATAAAGTTAATTGAAACAAAAAAATAGTTTGTAAAATGTTTAAATTTTTTATAATAATGTTCAGAGAGCACATTCACACTCTATGTATAATAATTATAAAATAAATTAAACAACAAAATATTATATATAAACAAAAGTTAACAACTTAAATACGAACATTTAAAAAAAAAATTTTTACAAAATTCATTCACTGTATTAGAAAAAAAATCACACCATGTTTGAAGAATCCTTTTGAGTTTTTGGTTGAAGTAAATAATTTGTGCTAAGGAATATCATTACAAGGTTAAGGACATGATGTAAGTTGGTCACCAGATACTAAATGCATGAGGCCACTTTTATAGAAATATTGCTGTAGAATTGCATATTTTTAATTTATAATTACTATACTTTTCATGGTCCAGTTGACTGAAGAATGACTCTCTTGAACTTTTTTCCTAGCCATTTATTAATTTTGTGTATCTGGGAAATATAATATTGTATTTTTTTTATCCTGTTACTGTATTAGTTTGTGAATATAAACATGAACTGCTTCTGCTTCATTATCAAATATATTGATAAGATTTCCCTAAACTCTATCCAGTATTAATAATTTGCCTGGTAGATAGTAGATAGTAGTTCAAGAGTTTTATGTTTTACTGATAAAAGTTGTTAACTATTTATCAAAAAAAAATGTTGTGAACTGTTCATTCCCTCTTCCTAAATACGTTGGTGAATTCACCAATTAATGGAATATTTTGAAGTGTATGCTGTAAGATGGATAAAATTGGCTCCACAAATTAATCATAAACTACCAAAAAAAGCCATCTGTATAGGATTCATGATCACGAACTTAATTTTATTTGATGAACTTATATTAATTTTTCCTAAAACCTAACATAAACATTAGATTTTAATTGTGTTGTATTAATTGAGAGTAATAATTAATTAAAAGTATAGAATTGCTGATGTCAATGTGAAATTTGCAAGATAAATCAACATGTGATGAATTCCACAAAATAAATTAACTTTTAAAAAAACAATTTTTACTTTAAAAAATCTTTGGATAATGTTTAATTTTTTTGTTTTTTTGTCTATAAAATGTATTTGCGGCTGTGGACTTATTGTTGACAATCAGCAAATGTGATGATGTTACATGAAATAATGACATGACAGGCATGGGGAAGGTTTACTTGAATTTAAAAATATAAATAATATTTCATTGTTGTTTAAAATAATTTTTATACTCTCCACTTAATGTCGGGAACCTTATTGATGCAGGAAAAAAAATGTATTTTATTTATTTATTTATAATTGCTAATATTCTCTCACTTTTTAGATATGTATAAAAAAAATAATTAGGCTATGTTTCTGCCAGTTATCTATAAATGGATAGTTAATCTGATTTTAAAAAATTGAGGATTTTGAGGGATGTTACCTTGATGGTCACATATTTATTTTTTATCATATTTAATCCACTACTATCTCTCAGGCTTTCGGTCTGAAGTCCATCCAAAAGGGAAAAAAATGTTTTTTCTCATCGGTGTTTATATGTTGATGTAAGCGAACTGTGGTAAGCTAAATACTCAAAATATCACAATATATTATATGTTTAAAATAGGGTACATATACAGCTACTGACGTAAGCATGTAAATATTTCACCTACGTCAGTGACGCCATAAAGGGGTTTGCAGCACTAGCGGATCCAGGATTTAATTTTGGGGGGGGGGGGCTTCAGCCCGAAAGCTTTTTTTTTCTTAAAAATGAGGATAATTACTTTGGAAAAAAAGAAAGAAACTAACTATCTATATGAAATGGTGTTTAAGTGATTCCTTAAGTCCTTTTAAATGTAATTACACGAACAATAATACTTTAAGACATAATTTTTTAATATTTTTTTCCATAAAACATGGTTATATTTTACCATTTTGGGGGGGGGGACTTCAGCCCGAAAGCTTTTTTTTCTTAAAAATGAGGATAATTACTTTGGAAAAAAAGAAAGAAACTAACAATCTATATAAAATGGTGTTTAAGTGATTCCTTAAGTCCTTTTAAATGTAATTACACGAACAATAATACTTTAAGACATAATTTTTTAATATTTTTTTCCATAAAACATGGTTATATTTTACCATTTTGGGGGGGGGGGAAGCTTCAGCCCGAAAGTCCCCCCGTAGATCCGCCCGTGGTTTGCAGGTATCAAGGATTCTAAATTTTTGAAGGGGACACATATTTAGAGAGCTATGAATTATTTGAGAAAACTACATTTTTAAGAGATTGCAATGCGGGAGAACTTTCAAAACGAGAAACATTACTACAATTTTTATAATTTTACTTAAATTTACACAGTTTTTAAGCAGACGAGAGCAACAATGTTTTCCGAGTTATAGACTCCATCGTACAGTGGCATGGACACATACTTTCATACTTCAATGAACATCGCTGTTGATTGAAGTACCGTTAATGGAAATAATACTTCAGCCATTATTACAATAAACCGTTGTAAATACCTTTTTATAATTCATAAACGAGATATAAATTTAGTCATTCCTCAGGTTTGAAAATTTTCTAGAAAATATCTTCGACATTCACTACTTTTTCCTTCAGTTCCTTTTATAACAGCCATTTTAATGAATCAAAATCTCGCATAATCTGAATCTTGTGAAAAATCATCGTTGCATGACAAAATGAAAACAATCTTAATAGAAAATTATTACGAAGAACTAAATACTCACAATTAGTTGTGAAGAAATTTTCAGTTTCTGCAATCACTCCCTAAAATCTCACTGAATGAATTTTCGAGCAACCAGGAGATTTCCTAAAAGTTGCATTTTTCCATCAACATTATAAACGTATACCTAACTTTGAAAAGCTTGTTTAATTTCGAATAGCTATCGAAGTATAGAAGTCACAATATGTTGAATACCTGCAGCAATTTTACATTTGTATTTCTATTTTCTTTCTTTTTATATTTCTCTCTTTTCTCTTATATTAATAATATTGTTAACAATTTTAGCATATTAAACAATAAGGACGTTATTGCCCTGATATTATTCACGTGCTTGAATCAATTCTATACTTTTTCTTCATTACTAAGAAACGAATTTAAAATTTAATACCGTAATGGCATGATGAGTGGTATCAATTCTAAAGTAAACAGTTTAGTAGCTGAGGATGAAGTATAAATCACTGTTTACCAACAAGTTCTCAACAACTGTAATAGACATGGAGCAACCGGCCGTTCCATTTCCCAGAAGGACTTACAGCTAATATCCATTTTAAATTGTAGATAAACCTCATCTGAAAACCCAACTTCGGTCCGTCGGTTGAAAGTCGTTGTTTTCTATTCCACAATTTAGATTAAAGTGATGAGATTTGACGGTTCATTTAACGGAAGAACTGACTGCTGAAATTTTAATATGATTTAAAGAATGGATCCCTAATAGAGAATTCATCCTGACTGACGATCGGTTCAGTAGAATGGTAGTTGGGTGCACAGGCGGATCTACGGAGGAAGAGAGGGGTGCTTTCGGGCTGAAGCCCCCCCAAAACGGAAAAACATACCCATGGTTTATAGAAAAAAATATCAAAAACTATCTCTTAAAGTATTATTGTTCGTGTAATTACATTTGATAGGACTTCAATAATCACTTAAACACCATTTCATATAGGTTGTTAATTTCTTTCTTTTTTTTCAAAATAATTATCGATATATATTTGAAAAAGAAAATCTTTCGGGCTGAAGTCCCCCCCTCCCAAAAAAAATCCTTTTGATTAAACTAACCAATTAAATCCTTGATCCGCTAGTGGTCGGGTGCGGAAAAAGTCTTATAGTCTCTTTCTCTTCTGTTTTTTATGTTTTTTTGTAATGCCGAATCTGAATTGGAAGTAAATCTCATAAAACTTATGTTCAGATGAGGTTAGAATTTAAAATGGTTTTATATTTTTAATTAATTTAATTTAAGTAATCTAACTATATTTAAAACAGAACTATAATGTACAAAAAACAAATAATTTTTTGATTCTTATAAATGTGGATGACCCTCATGCCAAAAGATCATATAAAAGCTATATAATTTAGTTTATATATTATATTATAATTAGTTTATATATTCTAATCCTGATAAAAGTATAGTTAAAACAGCTGAATCTAAAGAATAGAAAAGATAAAAAGTACTTAAGTTGAGTGCGGCAGATATTACAATTAAAATACGCCCTCAATTCTGTTTGTTTTAACAGCCGCTTACCTTCTTACGTATTAACGTATCACCATGATATATCATGGAAATACAATGCTGTTTCAAATTGATTATAATGAATTTTTTCGAGGGATGCATAGATTATGTGTTTTGGGAGAAGAACCGACGAAAACAGCTATTTCTTGTGGAATAAGTAAACAGTCAAATTGCTCTAACTCCTCACCCATTGTTCCTATATCAAAAAGCTACTTATGAAATTAATTGTGGATATTATCTTTTATAACTTGGTATAGAATAATAATTTCGAAAAATGCATAGTTTCGGAGTTATGGTCAAAAAACAATGTTTTTTCTTCTACACTTTGTTAATCCTCTTTCTTATTTTATAGGTTTTTTGGATTGTTTAATATGGAAACATTATAATGGATTGACTGTCGTGCGGTCCGGTGCACGGCTGATCACTTTACTGGTGGGGTTGTGTCTTATTTTTTCATATGTTTACGCCCAGTATTCATAGCCAACCTCTGTCTCTTCTTTCTGGGGTGGTACTCTTGCCCTTCCTAGGCTGAAGTGTGAAAGGCCCACCAGCTCCTTCCACCCGTGCACAAATTCAGCGAAGAACGGGTAGTTCTCTTCTTCGATGAGGCCGGGGAAGTCCGCCTCCAAGAGGTTATAAATTTCTGTCTTCATCATTAACTTGGCACGGCGTCCCTCCGTCGCGGTGTAGGACACTTGGATATGTTCAGCCGTCTCAGGGACTCCGCAGAGAGGGCACAGGGGGTAAATATCCTTCCCATTGTCAGCCAGTTTTCCCCGGAATCCTGCATTTCCTGTGAGAATCTGCGAGACCCAATAATTAGGGTGGACTCAGGTCTCCTTGAGTCTATCTTGGGAGGTGGGGGAAAACTTTCTGAGGGTGGACCCTTTCCTGCTTGTCACCCATCGTCTGTTCCACTCCTGAATGGATTCCTCTCTGACAACCTTCTTCCATTGGTTGGGGTTCTCGCCCATTATCTTCGGAGTCCTTACGGTAGGGTCCCCAGCTCCTGCCTCTTGATGTTAAACTTCAATGCGTCCTCATTGAATATTATTCTCAAGGGTATCACTCCGACCAGCACCTGCACTACCGCGTGGGCTACTATCCGGTGGGGATTCCTCGTGACGCCAACAGTAGAGCCAGTCGTTGTTTAGTGGCGAGTCTTCGCTTCTGCTTCTGCGCGAGGCTTGGGCTCCCACGCGGGGGATGAGTACCTCAGGATACCCAAGACGATTCCCTTGTAAATAGTCATGGTTGTGGGTACCTGATATCCCAGAAAATCCCCCGATTCTTCGCAGACCATTCATCGTCTGGTACTCCAAGTGGGGGTTACATTTTTATGGTGTGATCTTTCTTCTTACCCTTACTCCTAGATATGTCACCTCCTCAACTGGTTTGGTCCTTGCACCTTGGATGTCTAAATTGATATAGTGAATCCTGTCCGTGAAGCCTCTTATGAATATGGCTTGGGTCTTAGCAGCGGCCATACTCAGTTTACGCCTCACGCACCACTCCGCTACTGAGCTGACGCACCTCTCTGCTTCTGTCTTCAGTCTGGCTCTGCTCTTCTCAGCCACGATGACCGCCAGGTCGTTGACGTAGGTCTTGGCAAGAAACCCCTTATTTTTCAGTCCCCCCAGCAACAGATGAGCTTCCACAGGGCTGGGCCCAGGACTGAGCCTTGCACACAGCACAGATCCTCTCTATCCTTCTCTCTACGTCATAGTAGCTACCCCTAATCCTGATGGTCCTGTTACTGAGATAGCTACCCATCAGGAAATATAGGTTGGTAGGGGTGTCAAGATCTTGCAACTGCTGGAGTACACGGGGCTACCATACACTGTTGAAAG